AGCCACGGCGCCGGCCTCTAAAATCTACTTTTAAGGGGCCAGTGCTGTGGCTCACTTGCCATGGGTGCCGGGTTCTAGTCCCGGTTGCTCTTCTTCCTGTCCAGCTCTCTGCTGTGGCCTGGGAGGGCAGTGGAGGATGGCCCAAGTGTTTGGGCCCTGCACCTGCATGGGAGACCAGGAGGAAGCACCTGGCTCCTGGCTCCCTAACCCTAACCCTAACCCTAACCCTAACCCTAACCCTAACCCTACAGCGCAGCGCTGGCTGTAGCGGCTACTTGGGGAGTGAACCAACAGAAGGAAGACCTTTCTCTCTGTCTCTCTCTCTCACTGTCTATAACTCTACCTGTCAAATAAATTAAAAAAATAAAATCTACTTTTGAATTACTTTAAAAAGATTCAAATTTCTTTTCAACAAAGTGTGCTGAAAGTAACTAAGTAGCAAGTAGGGGAAGCCTTTGTAGTACATTCAATAAAAGCTAACATCTCCAACACGGTCTTTAAGACTCTTCCCAAACTAATAAGAAAAGTTAATGCTGCATTAGAAAAATGGGCAAGAAGCATGAAAAGGCAACCGCTGAAGGAGGAAATGTAAATTAAGTGAGGCCACCTCACTGGAGATAATGAACGAGATGCAAATGCAACGAACAAGCCCCAGATTCTTTGAACCGCAGTTCAGGGATTGAAATCTCTGCCACTCCAAGCTGCAGGACTTTGGAAAAGCCAGCGAGCCCCTCCTTGCCTTGTTTTCTCAGCTGTTCAGCTCAGTGATACTCTGAACCCTCAATAGGATTTCTGTGAAGATCAAATGAGGTCATCCGTGGAACGTGATCACCGGAGCAGCTACCTGAGGATGAGTGCTAGCGTTCTTCATTCCTTGTTGTGCTCACCACTAAAGTAGTTGTCACATAAAAACACCAGGTGTATCAATGATACAGACTTCAATGAGGAAAAACATCCAACGAGGTGATGAGGTGAGACAGAGTTGTCTGAACTTTAAAAAAAATTTTTTTTCATTTCTATAGGATTGATAGTATTGTCCCCCTTTATGTTTGTTTCTAAATTTTCTTTACCATCTGATACCTTATTTTGTTAGAACAGAGTCATTATAATTCATATATATGACTTCTCTATGTATAATCTTGAGTGTAGAAATCTTTTAAATTAAGACACAAAACTCAGAAGTCAGCAAATAAAAGATGCATTAAAATGAATAAAAACTCAATTCTAGAAACAAAATACAAAAATAAAATTCAAGTAGAAACAATATGTACTGTATATCTGGTGAACAACAATTTATTTCAATGAAAGTAAAAGACTTGAGTACATAAGTGAAAAAACAAACAATAGAACTAATAAAAGTATTGTTACCTATAGGGTGAGGGAGAGAAGAGAGACTAGAAAAATTGAATGGAAGTTAAAATCTGTAAATGCACCTTGTCTGATAATTTGTACTTTATATCCACATAACTGTTTCTCCTATATGAAACAAAACTTTAAAATCAACTCTTAAAACATAAATACAAACTAAAAAGAATTAACTATAGATCAAAAGTTATGTAAACGCATGGCAAATTATCTGAAATGATTTGAGAAATGTACTGTTTATTTTTATTTTATATATTTTAAGGTTTATTTTATTTGAAACTCAGAGTCATAGAGAAATGGAGATACAGAGAGAGAGCTTCCATCTGCTGGTTCACTCCCCAAATGGCCACAATGGCTCAGGCTGGGCCAGGCCAAAACCAGGAGCCAGGAGCTTCTTCCAAATCTCCTACGTGGGTGCCGGTGCCCAAGAACTTTAGCCATCTTCCACTGCTTTCCCAGGCGCATCAGTAGGGAGCTGGATTGGAAGTGCAGCAGCCACGACTCAAACCAGCACCCAAATGGGATGTCGGCATTGCAGGTGGCAACTTAACCCCCAACACCACAATGCCGGCCCCATCATTTTATGTTTTAAAAATTTATTTGTTTGTTTGTTTATTTGTTTGAAAGAGTGACAAAGAGAGGGAGAAGCAGAGAAAGGGAGATAGTCTCCATTTGCTGGTTCACTCCCCAAATGCCTACAACAGCTGAGGATGCATAGAGTGAAAGCCAGAAGCCCAGAACCACACCTGGGTCTTCCATGTGGATTGCAGGAACCCAAGTACTTAAGCCAACACCTGCTACCTCCCAACTGCATTAGCAGGAAGCTGGATTGGAAGCAGAGGTGGGATTTGATTCCAGGCACTTGGATATGGGATGCAGACATCCCAAGCAGTGGGTAAATCCACTATGCCTCAACACCTGTCTATTTTCATTTATTTGAAAGAGAGACCAACACAGAGTTATTCCATTTGCTGGCTCATTCTACAAATGCCCACAAGATGCAGGGCTGGGCCAGGCTAATGCCAGGAACCTGGAACTCAACCCAGGTATCCCACATAGGTGGCAGAGACTCCAGTACTTGAACCATTGCTTGCTGTCTCACAGAGTGTGTGTTATCAGGAAGCCTGATAAAAAGAAATGGGAGTAGCCAGAATTTGAACTTGGCAATCCAATATGGGATGGAGTGGGGGTGTTCCAAGCAGTGATTTAACTGCTGTGCCACACTCATACCCCTCAATGATTTTTTAAATATATTGTTTTAATTATTCACTTAAGACAAATGAAGGAGACAAGGGAGGACCATGTGGTTATCATGCATAAAATATGCTTTGTTTTAGGTGATTTTGTCTAACTGTAAGCTAAGCTAAGTGTTTTAGGCAGGGCAGGCTAAGTTATGTTCAGGAGGTTAGGTACTAAATGCATTTAATGATATTTTCAGTTCAGGGGATTTCATCAGGACAGAGCACACTGCAAGTCAAGGAGCACCTGTATATTGAGTGGGTGGTGACATGAGATTTTGAATTTATTGTACTTGAATTTAAATCCAAGCCCCATAATCTACTTACTCGACTTTTAGCAGGCTAGCCTTTAAGAGTCCATCAGTCAAACTTTGTTATTACATATCTTTGAAGTATTATTATAAGGATTAAATTGTTATAAGAATTAAATTGCACCAAAAGCTATTTTAAAAACAAACGAGTTTGCACACCCCTGGCACTGATAGATGGTATACCCATGGTGAGCATGGTGACTTCTCAGGGACACGCAGCCTCACTGACCGTGATTGTAATCAAGCTGCCATTCTGATTTTTCCAATGCAATGCATTCTTACAGAATCACACATTCTCAAGTCACGCTCTCCAAACTGCCTCTTTTCGCAGCTCCATCTTTCCCTCAGTCCACTGCTTACGGGTTGATGTCCTGTTTCCAGAACTGTAGAAAAAAAATTTTTTTTAAAGATATATGTATTTATTTTGAAAGAATTACAGAGAGAAGGAGGAGAAAGAGAGAGAGAGGGAGAGAGAGCGAGCTATCTTCCATCTGCTGGTTTACTCCCCAAATGGCCACAACAGCCAGACCAAATCCAGGAGCCAGGAGATTCCTCTGGGTCTCTCACGTGGGTGCAGGTGCCCAAGAACTCGGACCATCTGCTGCTGTTTTCCCAGGCGCATCAGCAGGAAGCTGGCTCAGAAGTGGAATAGCTGGAATTCGAACCGGCACCCATGTGGGATGCGGGTGTTGCAGGTGGCGGTGGAACCTGTTACGCCACAACACTGGCCCTGATTTATTTTCTTTATAAATTAGTCTGTGGTGTTCTGGACTAGCACACAAGGTAACACCTCACAGCAGGCTGACATGGCAATATAAGCAGTAATCTGTATGCTCAACCTTTTCCTCAAGATAGTGCTTTCTATATTTTTTAACAGTTCTTTCATCAGCACCATAACAATTCTGATTGCTTGATATGTGACAGGGACAATGATCAGGAGAAGCAAAAGTAAGTTCCATTTGTGAGTTTGGACCCACTCTCCCTTGAAAGCAAGCTGGCCAGACCCACAGGCCCCACGGAAGGCTACAGAAGTGACTGGACTGGAAGGGCGCAGGGAGGGGAGGGAATAGGCTATGAAGAGGGTGTGGGAGGGCAGAGGGAGGAAGAGAGGGAGCAATAATAGGACGTTAACAGCCATGGGGTTTGAAACAGAAAGCTAGAAAAAGGGACAGAGAGCAGAGTGGGGGTGAGAGGAACAGAATGGTCCAGACAGTGGCCAACAGACAAAGAAGAATTAGTGGCTGAAATATAATAGAAAGGTGTAGATCTCTAGCATGAAGGGAGAGAGGAGAGACGGAAATAAAATGACACAGTGGGAGTTGCAGAGACAGAAGCATAAAAGATGGAGGGGAGATGAGGAACACAGGACACTGACTAGAGAGGTTGTGGCATCAGTGCAGTGAGGGACAGCAGAGTCAGAGAGAGATGGGGTGATGTGGCAGCAGAGAATGGGAGTTCGAGGGGGAGATGGAGGGAAGAAGGAATGATGGCGCTGTAGAAATAGAAGGATACATGTGGGCACAGAGAATTTATTTCACAACTACGAAGTATAAGAGAACATAAAGAAAAGTTCAAGGGTGGGCATTTGGCCTAGCAGTTAAAATGCTGGTTTGGAAATCTATGTTCATATTGGAGAACCTGAGTTTGATACCCAGCTACGGCCTCTGACCCCAGCTGATAATGTAGACCGTAGGAAGCAGTGGCAATGACCCAAGTGGTCATTTCACAGAATTTACAGATATTTCACAGAAATTACAGATACTCAGAATGACTCCCACATGGCAGTAAGAAAAGAGCATAGACAGTCTTGGATAGGGGCTAGCATTGTGGTATCGTGGGTAAAGCTGCCAGCTTCCCACATATGGATGCCTGTTCAAGTACTGGCTGCTCCATTTCCAATCCAGCTGATGTTCAAGTGAATATACTTTTAAGAAAAGATAGCCTAGGATAGTATTCATCCAGTTGAATATGGTGTACTCAAAAAATAGAACTTTCTTCCAGCATTTTAAAGTTAATAGCTGATGATCTTTTGTAGAAGATTATTTTTAAAAATAATAACAAAAATCTTTGGTCCATTAAATAACAAATACCATTTATTGAGTGTAAAGTACTGTGCAAGTTTATTCCTTCCTTGCACACACAGGTGGGTGTTACCTATCTTTGTTTTGGAGAAGAAATTGAGACTTTCAGAAGCTAAGTAACTTACTGAGTGAGATCACCTAGCTAATAAAGAGCCTAGGAAGAATTTGAAAGAAGCCGCTCAGTCCTTTGTCTATGCTATAACTATTTTCTTGGCTGGTTATTATTCAGGGATTAATTTCTGTCTTCATTGGTTTGTTATATTTTCATGTAAAATGTGATGTTGTTATACTTCCTATTTGTTTTCAACTCTGTGCTTCCTACTTCATGTATTTCTGATTTCATTGAGTTATGCTAACTTCTAGCACCCCCTCCTGGCCATTGGAGGTATATCACCCATGTTGATTTTCTGGTGGAGCCCAGTGAGTTGACATCTACTAACCCACCATGATGACTGGAAAGGGCCCTGCAATGCAAGGCAAGTTCCAACTGCACACCTAATGTGCCCAATAGCTTTAGGTTATCAAAACTCTGCAGAGTCACCCTTTCTCAAGCCTCAAAATGAGAGGAGTCGAGGGTGGTGTTGGTCTCTTCCAGCTCTAATAAATAATTCATGTTTCCCAGTTGAATTGAACGCTCCAGACATCAAAAATAACAACTGTATGGTAGGATGGAAAATGGAAACTTATAATTTTGATTTTGGTTCAACAGAAATGCACATTTCTTGACATAACACTACTCGAGGAAAATTCTATTTAATTCCTTAATGGAAACACATTGAATCCTACAGGTCTTCTATGTGTATGGAGAGCCAATGGCTTTATAACCCGGTCCTGCTACTACATGAAGCCCACGACTCCAGTAAACTTATTTCAGGCAGTGGAAAGACAATGCTCAAAATCCCGCCTACGAAGGTTGGGATCAGTAGGACTAAGAGAGATAAAGTGCGCAGTAGTGCACACATATCCACACACAGTGCAATAGATACACAGGCTGAGCTGTAATTCTTACAGGTTCTTAGGCCATTAGTAAATCTAAACATGAACACAAGGTAGAAGTTTCTAGGGGTAGGGGATATTAATTCAACTTCTGTCTTCATCACTTCACTATGTTTCAAGTTTATAATTTCAAAATGTTTTAACGCTCAGTGGTCTTTAAAAAAACACAAGCATTGGGAGTGGGCATTTGGCCTAGTTAAGGTACCCTGGTCCCACATGGCAGTGCCTGGGTTCAGCTGCCAGCCCTGGCACCCGTTTTCAGCTTCCCACCAACATAAACCTGCCAAGGGAGTGGTGGTGGTGGCTCCAGTAATCAGGTTCCTGCCACACCGGTGGGAAACCTGGATGGGCCTGGATGGGAGACCAAGCGCAGGGCCAGGCTCAGCCATGGTTGCGGTGGGCATTTGAGGAGCAAACCGGAGGACAGAATCTCATCCATTCTCTCCTCTCTCCCTTGCATAGGGTCAGAACATACCAAGACGCGGTTCTCCCGTGTTAACTGCAGATGGACGTTCTACTGAGTGCTGCAGAGGAGGGAGCTGATCATACAGACCTGACGCCACCTTCAAGAGTCAGAGACCCTTGGTGTTTGAGATCCTAGGAGATTCAGAATCAACTGGATTTCAGGAAACTAAGAGACAGCTTCTATGTTGAAAGAGCTTCAGGGGCCGGTGCTGTGGTGCAGCAGGTTAAAGCCCTAGCCTGCGGCGCCGGCATCCCATATAGGCGCTGGTTCTAGTCCCGGCTGCTCCTCTTCTGATCCAACTCTCTGCTATGGTCTGGGAAAGCAGTAGAGGATGGCCCAAGTCCTTGGGCTCCTGCACCTGCATGGAAGACCTCGAAGAAGCTCCTGGCTTTGGATGCAGCCATCTGGGGAGTGAACCAGCAGATGGAAGACCTCTCTCTCTGTCTCTACCTCTCTCTGTAACAGTCTTTCAAATAAATAAAATAAATCTTTAAATAAAAAAAGAGCGAGCTTCAAGATACCTACCTGGTTTTCTTATAAATTTGTGTAGATTTAAGGGTCATATTCCAATTACTCTCTAAACCAAAGTCATCAACATGTGGTACTCCGAAATTATGTTTAAAATTATAACCAGCGAGTCACAAAATATTTGGATGGACTATTAATCTTATTCAAGCACAGTTTATTTGGCTTTCATGAACAATTTACCAAACCCGTGCTATGTGCCACGAAGAGTTCTGCCAGTTGACAGCCCGGTTGGTCTCAGCCTGGTACTGTAGGATGCAAACATCTCAGAACAGATCTGAGAGAGTCAGGGCTCAAGGATGAACAGAACCATGCGGCTCTAGACTGCCTACGCTTGCCAAGAAACCATGGGTTATGTCTTCTCCCTTGAAGATACCAAATGTTCCTTTCCATTTTTCAAGTCCTGGGAAGAGGTCACAGCATCTAAACCACAGGGGAACTCTGTGATCCGCTAAGGTCTGGCAGATAGCTTACAAGGTTCTCAGTTGGGTTCCAAGTAGAAACGAGAAGGCAGCTTTTAGTTGGGCTCCATTGGAAAGAGAAGAGTCCTAGCAAGGCCACTCCATTGGCCAGTCTGTGTCTAAGGCTTCAAGGTGTTCAGCCATGCAATTTGTGCGGCCATCTCTAAACTCATGGATGTCTCCTAACTTTTATGGTTTCCCAGAGGCATTTTATTTAAGGGGACATGGGATAAAGCTAGATTTTCTTTCTTACAACCTGATTATAGGCTACTTTATGTGATAAAAGCATGCTCAGAGTTCTGAAGCTGCACAGTTTACCTGAGAGCCTGAGACGTGATGGATGTGGCTTTCTGGCTGTCTCAAAAGCCATCGCAGCTTTGTGGGAAACAGCAGGCCATGGCAGAAGCAATGCAAAAGCATGTGCATGGAGATTTCCCATCTCGGGATCCTGGCTGCCCTGAGATATCGATAAAAACCCATGTGGCTGGGGGACCTTGCTCTGCAGTGATATGAGGGCACTTCAAACAGTTTGTGAAAAATGGGATTAAAAGATAAGTTTATCGGGCTGCAAAATTAGTGAAGTACATGCATAGTTTTTTTCCATAGTGCACATTTTCCATGAACTTTTTGAAGACCCCTTCTACATCAAACTGGTTTAAAATTGAGGGACTAACAGTGGTGTTGGTGGGAATGCCTGGCAGGTGTATGTTTAACAAGAATGGACCTCAGACTTTGACTTATACTAGCTGAAGCTCTGAAGCCCATTAGTTTGTAAAAGAAATCTTATGACATGGAGAGGCGGCTCAGGTAAGGCTTTCTGTACTGAGGTTATCTGGGATAAAATGTAGCTGCAAACCGGGGGATCCCTGTATGACCAGGTGATGGTGTGAGAACTTGGATCACATGAACTGGGAAAGGGACGTGGATGACTGTTCTGGGAGACCTGATAATTAACTCTGTGGAACATCAGGTGTATTTTATCAGCAGAAATAATTTTTCAGTCTTGACTTTGAATACCCCATGAAACCCTCAATGTCAGAAATGACTTCCTGGCATAAATCTTACACTGCATTTCACTTGGTGATTATCAGTCATGCTACTAGGCAATAGCACATTGTTTTCTTGTGCTAGACTAGCGCCCAGGATGACCCAGTTCCCTGTAAATTAGTCCTTGGAAACAATCTAGGGTCAATAAACATCGAACTCAGTGCTCCACCCCCAAGGGAATTCAAACCATGAGTCAGAAATACCAAGATTCAAAGTCTAATGATGCACATTCTTAATCAGCCTCCATGCCTACAGAATTATATCAGCGGAGAAGAATCTAAATCTAATTCTCTTCTGGAAATAGTGGCCCAGCCAATTGACTTTTCTATTCCATTTGATCTAATTTTAAGTCCCTATGAACATAAACAAGCCATAAAGCAAAGTGACCGGATGAGGCTGGTGTGAGAAGAAATTGCTAATCATGGGTGCAAAACGGTCAGTGATTCACAGACCAGAAGTGCACAGCTGGCACCTTTAGGGCGTCTCCGTCCACAGCTGTTATTTGTGCTCTCGTCATCGCTGGCTACCAGGGCACTGAGTAACCGGCAATGACTGCGATGGAGGAGCTGGGGGAAGGGAGGCAGGGCCATGAAGCACAACCTGGCGAGGGAACAAGCACATTTTGGCACAAATAACAACTCAGCCAGAAATGGTTTCAAGTAGCAGGTACAACTAGAACAAATTTTTTTTTTTCTTTTAAAAAAGAGTCATGAAAAAGAAATAGGGTAATTGTTGGAGATTACCAAAGGTTTATTTGGAATGACACAGCACTGGAAACATAATTGTTACAGATGGTTTGTGGATACAGCATACATCACCTATTTTATTTTCGGAGGATCAGTGAAGATGAGCTGCATAAATTTAAGAGGTGGAAATATATAGGAGCTTTTTTTTTGTTTTTAACAGTAATCTTTTGGGAGGGATTCATACGCTCCACCTTCTACCGATCTCATGAAGGCAGAAGTGAAGACGGCTTCGCTGCGCCTTCCGGCTAGCCCTCTGCCTGCCCCGGCAGCTGCATGGCTGCGTGACCAGGCCCTGCTTTCTCAGAAGGGGCAGGCAGCAGCCTGGATATGCTAACTGTCAATCTCACCCTGAAAACTGCACATTACACACACAGATACTGTTGATTCATTTGGCAATGGGATGGCTGGTTTTCCCTCCCGAGGCATAACTGCCACTGTTATGCCAGGCAGAGTAAGAGCAATGCATGTACCAACAACACCTGAGAAGCAAAGAGCTACAATGGAAAGGAAAGAAAGCAACTATGTATATGTAGCCTTCTGCATACACATAGATCGAGCAGTCATGGGAACTAGCTTGTGTGACTGTGCGTTCATATATATATTTATATATGTAGGTGTGTTGGACAAGACTGTTGAAAACTTTTGCAGCAGTATTGTTTGAACACAGTAAACTTGGAACAAAGAGAGAGCATACACGCAGAGCTGGGCAGGGGGATCAGATAGTCTGGTACTACAGGATAATTCTTCACATCTTCGCAGGGCGGCCACTCAATACCGTACACTTGGTACACAGGCAGGGCTGGGCTGGAGAAAGCTACTTTAGACTTGGCAGAAGGGGAATCAAGTACAAGAGTCTCCACAGCTCGGACAAAGCACAAAGAAACCCGTCACTGACAACATGGGAACGAGTGAGGACTTTTTCCTTAATTTACTTTGTTTTCCTCTTACATGTTCTGCACACGTGCTCCACGGACATACTCTCCCAAGCTTTGTCTGGAGGCAGTCTGTAAATCATCAGAAGTGTAATAGCAAAAGTGAACTCTTCAGGTTTTTGCAAAGATTTAAAAACCCAGTAAGCAAGCTCTCTCTGCACACGCACGTAGCCCTAATCCAGGCGCCGGGTGAAGTTCTCGGGGAAGAGGCCTTTGTAGGTGGCAAGGTCTCTGTACTGAAGCCAGTCTGCTTCCTTCACTCCCACCAGCCAGCCTGCATCCTGTAAGACAACAACAGGACTTTCAGGGGCTGACAAACTACTGGAAAAAAATCCATATGCCAATTATCGGTAGAACCTTCTGGAACATCAGGGCTGTGGGTCTGCACCAGGGTGTCATGTGACATGTGAGGTGGTGTGCCGCCTTCAGCAGGGAGGCCTGTCTCAAGTATGTTGTCAGTTTAAAAACACTTAAAGAATAAACATTTGAAATGAGTCACTGTGCAAAGTATCGTGGAGGGCAGCATTGGGGCATAGCAGGTCAAGCCACTGCCAGCATCCTATATGGGTGCCAGTTTTTGTCCCAACTGCTCTACTTCCAACCCAGCTCCCTGCTATGGTCTGGGAAAAGCAGCAGAAGATGGCCCAAGCGTTTGGTCCCCTGCTACCCATGTGGGATATCCAGAAGAAGCTCTTGGCTCCTGGCTTCAGACCGCTCTCTCTGTCTCTCTCTCTCTTTGTAATTCTGACTTTCAAATAAGTAAATAAATCTGTTTTTTGAAAGTATAGTTAATTGAAGATTGATATTAATATTTTAATTTTAGATAAAGCACAGTGGATGTTAACTGGATTATGACATGAGCCCTGAAGGCAGAGAAAAGGAATCACTCAGGACAACAGAACCTGTCCTGTGGGGCATGGTGACAAAAAGCTTGAAGACCCTTGGGTTAGAATGCAGTATCCATGAGCCACGGGAAGTCTTGGACTTCATCCAGAGCCACTTGCTTGTAAGAAAGGACCCTCACCCCAGCTCACATCTCACAACTTCAATCAACAACTCTCTACAAGGCTTATCAAATACCAAAAGCTAGATGTGTGGCTCTTGATACTGCTGATGCTGTTATAATATCTAATTGTTCAAGTTTTATACATGACAAAGCAGTTTAACGTTATGGCATTCTTGTTGGAGGCATTCATATATTCTTCATAAATCACTCTTGATTATCACTTTCCTGCCCTATAGGAATGCCACCATCCAATGAAGACTTTGGGCCGCTGAAAGGTTACAGAACCTGTCCATACAGGGCCATACAGAATGGAAAACTATACTTAAAGCTCAGGAACAGAGGCCCCGGCTTGCCCTTGGCCTTCAGCAGAAGAGCGGAGTCGGGCTGGAG